GGGAAGACGCCCCTCACGGTCTGCGGCCTCGCCGGGCGCGGGGTCACGGCCCTCGACCGCGCGACAAGCCACGTTGCTTTCGGCCGGTCTGCAGTGTCATCTCACACGTACATTTCGACGCGCTGGGAACAGAAACGACGTCACGGTCATTCGGTGTCAGGCACCTGCTGTGAAAACGGAGTGTCCAGCGCTTGCCGTGCGTCGTGACATCTGCGCCGTTGTGTCACGGGCGGTGGCCCCCAGGACCCGTGTCTGAACAGCCAGTGACCACAGCCCTGCGTGGGGAGGGACAGAAGGCAGGTACTGGGACCCTCCGCCGTGCGTGGGGTGATGTGCTCCCCAAGACCCCACTCGCTGAGCCACACGACTGTTCACCCATTCGCTCGCCGTGCAGGCGAGTTTCACGGCTGGTCGGCAGCTGTGCGGTCACCCAGGGCAGTGACCGTGCAGCTATGGAGAGAGGCTGACCTGGAGGAGTGTCTGCGACAGAGACGCTGTCATTGGAGGCTGCAGTTGCTCGCGGGAATCACTAACGTGATGTCCAAGAACCTGGACGGTCGGTCCTGACTGTGTCACCTCTGCTGCTGGCGTGTGCGTGTGTGTGTGAGTGTGTGTGTGCGTGTGCGTGTGTGTGAGTGTGTGTGCGTGTGCGCATGTGTTGTGCAGAACGCAGTCAGACTTTTTAAATATCAAATAAGTTTGTATCCCAGAAAGGTTAGAAATGCCGCTTGAGGTTGGAACTGAGCCAGTGAGGTAGTGACGGGTACTGGGCGACCTCGGGTAAAGTCACTGTCTCGTGGGAACCGGACGTCAGGTGCTGGCTGGGCCTCGTCCCCTCTGCGTGGCAGGTCACCCTCCTCCTGTGGCTGCTCACTGGACAAGTGCCGTGTGTGGCACGGGCTTCCGGCGGCTTGCACCCTCTGGGGATTTAGAGACGGTAGCAGCGAAGTCGCTTGGGGCCGTCACGCGCGATGCCAGGCGAGTCGCAGAAACTGGCTCAGGACCGCACAGGACACTCGATGGCTCTGGGACCCTGGCGGCTGAGACCGCGCCTCCCGCTGACCGTTGTGTGGTTGTCTGTGTCACAAATCAGAGTCTGAGGAGGGAGAGTCCCAAGGGCACGGTCCCCTCCCTGCCCCCGGCAGCCCTGGAATCACGTGGGAACGGTCAGAGGCAGATGCTCGGGGCCCCCAGACCAGACCCCTGGCGGGCCTGGCGACACGTTCTGTGTAGCCTCCCGGGCTGGTGCGCTGTGCGGCTGGGATGCACCAACTCTGCCGTGTGTCACACAGCTGCCCCTCAGCGGGGTGGGACAGGGGACCTGCGGTCACAGCCCTTCCAAGGCTGCACAGAGGAGGGGCACCCAGCCCCTCGCGGCCTGAGCGACGAGGACGTGTCCGTTTGCACGGTGTCAGCACTGTGCCTCGGCACCATGCCGGGCTGCTGGTCTCCAGGAGGGAGGACACCATGGGACGGCACTGGGCCTCCCTTCACCCACTCCCCAGAGACGGTGTCTGACCCGTCTGGGACGCAGACGGCCTTGACGTTGTAGCTCAGCCCACCTTCCTTCCCGGGAGCCTGCCGGTCCCACAATGGCCGAGTCCCGCTGCTGCCCTCCCTGGGCAGCGAGGAAGCGGCCCTCCGGGGGCCTGTGGCTGTCACCGGTGCCGGGGGCTCCGGTCTCCTCGCTCGAGATGAAGGATCCAGAAACCGCTGTTGTGCACTTAGTCATTTTGCATCAGCTTTATCTGAAATAGAAGTAATAAAGCCGACATTTTGATTTCATTGATTTGACTCAAATCTCTCTCTCAGGCAGAGAATCATAATGTCAAGTCTGGGGCCCCTTTGACCCTTCTAGGTGTTTCTGTCACGGGCTGAGCCATCGGAGACGCATTTGCTGCGTCTGATTCACTACCTCACATCGGGTATTTATAGGCTCAGCAGATACTCTGTTGCGTAAGGATTTAAGTGTTTCAAATGGGTTATTGCTTGAGTCTCGTGAATCACTTAGATGTATATTTTACAGGGTCGTTTAAACTGGATATTTCTTCTTAGGAACCTTTCAGATTTGAGTCCATTTTAGTAAGAAACACTGTCGAGTCACTGTACAGTGAATTTAGTTCCAAAGATGTTTGTCACAGCAGACGTGCACCTGCAAAGTCCTTGTGGCAGCCAGGCAGGTGGCCCCCCTTGTCGGTTTTCCTACGCGCTTGCAGGAGTGTTACCTGCTGTGAGAGGGGGTCCCTCTCGGCCGGAGCGGGGGCCTCGGCCTTCCCTGGGGACCCCAGGTGGCGTCCGGGCTGCGCGTCTCAGCCCGGCGCTTCCCCCGACCCTGGGTAACTGGCTGACAGACCTTTGCTCTTCTTGGAGGGTCTCTGACCCGCATCACTCGGCTGACGTCGCCGGAGCGTGGGTCCCACGGTTTTCCTGAGCGCTGCTGGTGGACCTCTGTGAATGCGGCGGGCGGCGGCGTCTGGCCGGTGTCCGGGGCGGTGGTGACGACAGACGCCCCGTGCTCTTCTCTGCTGCGTGCTCCCTCGTGCATCTTTATCAACTGATACTTGCTCCTAACGTGTCGTCCGCCACGCTGTGCGGCGTGCATGGGGAGAGCCTTCCGCTTGCAGCTAAATCGTAGCGTCCGTCCCTCAGTCCCCTAGAACGTGTCCTCACAAAGCTCTGTGGCTCTCGACAGCGGTTTGATCGTCACGGTCGACCGCAGCTGTGCCTCCACCAGGACGTGCCTCCTGAGGCAGACGAGCCGCACGTTTGTCACCCTCGGGCGAGTTGCCGTGACATTCAGAGCACAGGCAGGGGACCGTGTCCAGCAATTCTGCCTTTGCGTGACCGAGCTCCCCGCTTGTCCCACGTTGATGCGTGCAGGGTCGTCACCGGCGCTCAGATGGCGTCACAAAGTCCAGGTCAGCGTCCAAGACCACAGTCTCCTTCCTGGGCAAGCGTTTGACAGCCGTAAACTCGGTGCCATCCCCGAGTGACAGCACAGGCCACCGGAGGGGCACTCACCCCCCGCTAACCATGGACCGCGCCAAGCCAGGAGGCAGACCCACCTCTGACCGCCAGAGGCGGCCACGAGCGGGCGCGCGGAAGGAGCCCCGTGACACCCGGCAGGAGCCCAAGTGCCGCAGAGACCGGAGCCGCCCTCCTCGTGGGAGCCGGACTCCGGGCGTCACCCCCGCGCACCCCCCTCCAGCTCCGTGCCGCGGCCAGCCGTGCCGTCTGCGGACCGCGTGCCCGCACGAGGCTGGGCCATGGCCGGGCAGGTTTGCTGTCCAGAGACAGTGGCTCCATCCGTGCAGCGAACAGCGCTTGTTTTAAGTTGCGTGGAGCCCGGTGGGCCTCTCAGAACCTCCTGGAAGAACCAGTTTACAGGGGGAGTGTCCGGGTAGCTCGCCGGCTCTTCCGCGTGCAGAGCTGGCGTTCTCGGCCCCCGTGTTCGTTGCAGAGTCCATGGCTCCCAAGTCGCTGGCCGTGCCTCTGACCCTGACCCTGACCCTGACCCTCATTCCCAAGCGGGGGGAGAGGCACAAACCCGTGCACGGAGGGACCTCGATTCTTCCCACACTCCGGGTCGGCCCACGTCTGTGGCGAGGGGCTGGCTGTCACCCTACCTCGCGACGTGGCAGGACAGGTGTGTCACTCATCCCTGTTCCCTGCCACCAGCTCAGACGCAGTACACGTAAGCACGTAGCTGTCCAGCCAACAACAGACAGCTTTACTTGGTTCTGGGCCTGCCGGCCTCCGGCGTGGGGGTGCTCAGCCTCCCGGAGCCCCAGC